AATAAAAGTTGAAATCATTAAATTCCAACTATAAACAGTAACTAGTTATTTGTCTTAAGGGAGAGCATATGTCCTCACACTGATAATTTATGACTCAATTCATCAATGAGACAAATATAGACATTACTCTGTAAGAATAAATATCTACAGGTAAATGCAGCTCTAGCAGGAGGAGACGAAAAAAATTGAAAAAGCTTAAAAGTTCCTCCATATCTACCTTTAATTGCACTTTAAACATTAAAACGAGTACTTAAAATACTGGGAATATAATCAAATCCTGTGTCACACTGTGCTGCCTAAGTCCTTTTACATTTATCCACTAAGATTAAGCTTTCATTGGGTGTCTCAGTAATGCCTTTGTTGTGTAAAAGGGAGATTCAAACCTGTAGAGACATACCTCATAGGAAAGTGTTTTATGTGGACTAAAAGATGATGCTGCATTTAAATATTCACCTGAAAGCCACGACTTCCTACTTCAATAATCAAAATGTGAATATGGATTGAGGAATTCTTACCATTCAGAAAAATTAAAGTTTAATCATGCAAAAAAAAAAAAATCACACATATAGACGCTGACCAGAAGGTCATCTACAGTCTTCCCCTAGTCCTCTCTGTTCAAGGAGCAGTCAAGTTACACTGAAGTCCACAGAATGTGGTTTCACAGCATCTATAATTTCAACACGGAAGAAGCAGCCTCCCCTCATATGCTTCTCTGCGATAGTCAAGCCAGGAAATGAAGAGTAAGATTCTTGAAGTCACTAAGTCAAGTAAATAGAATATTTTTTGTGACTCTGGGATTTTAAAAGTCTATGAGGCCTGTTTCTTCAACAGACTGAAAAAGAGCACAAGTGAAATATTATCTTTCTTACTTGAAAAAGCATTTGCTTTAATTCTTATATTCTATTCTTTGCAATTCTGGGAAGAGATTCTCTCTCTGAAATCTTTCTCATAAGAAGCTATTGATTCTTTACCTCTTACTCATAAGCATTATCATCCAAACTGTCCATGAAAGTATAAAAGTATATTCCCAGCGATACGACACTTTTCCCCTCAACCTTATAACATTCATCTATGACAATGTATTTTCAACTAGTGACTTAGCGCCTGGGGTTGCCAACACAAATGCAGAGAAAAGGAAGCTGTCATTCTTTTTAAATGATGGAAAGTCTCACACATCATCCCTAAACCAGGGTGCTCTCTTCGTGGCTCTCGGTCCCTAGCATTCATCACTCATGGGCTGCTCAGCACAGAGCATTCATCAAGGCGGGCCCACGCCATTGTTAGCTGGCAGTTTAAATGGGGCCGACTTGTCACCAGAGTGACAGCCTGGGCAATTGTTTGCCCTCTGGGAAGAGGTGCAGGCAGGTTCAAATGAAACACATCCAAATACTAACAGCAAGATTCTTAATCATGTCAATAAAAAGGATGAACTGGTGTCTCAGACTCAGTGGTCACAATATGCCTCTTACACTTTTGAAGATGAAATGCTGTCTGGCTTTTTAATAGAGTGTTCCAAGGAACCCACTGTGTCATTATCATTTTTAATACATGCTACTTTGTTTGCTGGATGAAATCTCTAATTCAGATATCCCGCATGCTAAAAGGAATGTTTCTGAATAACACAAGGCCAGGTTATCAAAATCAAGGGATGGGAAATAAAAGAGCTGGGAGGTAGAGGAAAGAAACAGTAATAAGCAATGAGATTTTATTCCAAAATAATGACAAAGTTTTAATGTAAATACCAAAAATGCAAAAGAGCTCTTAAAAAGGATAGCTTAATAATATCATTATTGAAACAATAAAATAAAATAGTTGGCAAATTTAATCTCTGGCTCTTAAAATTCCCATTTGCGGGCTAGATTTTATATGTTCTGGTAGCATTCACTACATATCTCTTCAAAAATATTACATATAATAATGCAGCTAACTCTATACAATCTTTATCAATAAAATTATTCACCATGAATAAAAGCACCTTAGTATTCTTAGTATTAAAACAATCAAGTAATTGCATAATATTTACAAAATATCTTTTAGGAAATCACCTCTGTGAAAAATAACAAAGACAACATACTGTCCTAGCTTCCATAGTTGTAACAACTTTGTGTTATTAACTCGTTATGTAATTAATTTGAGGGGTGAAATTTAACATATGAAACAAGAAGAGATAATGAATAAGAGAATAATGAATTACTGAACGATAGAGTTTTATGAAATAAAGAGCTTAGTGAAGGCTGGCAAGCTAGGAGTGTGTCTTGGGAGAGCAGGGGCCTCAGCTAGAACTGAGCTCAATGCCTGGGAGTGGATAGGGAAGTCCATCCAGGGAGGAGAAAGGTCAATTTGAGTAAAAGTAGAAAATGTCCACTTTTATCTCCTCTGTTCAAAAACAAAACAAAAAAACAGAGGCTAGAGAAGAAGATGAAGAGCTCACCATAAGTGCCTCTAAAATGCATAGTCTTGAGGAAGCAGAATCCTTTTATTGGGGGGATTTGCTTTACTTTTAGATAAATAGATATTTTCTCATTTGGAACAATATTATATTGTTTCTCCAAAATCCAGGCTCTGAAGTTGGGTAATGTCTGTCTTGGTTCCACTGCTTTCTGGCTGTGTGAGTTACTTAATCCCACCATATCCAAGTTCATTTATTTGTAAAATGGAGATAAAAAGAAACAGTACCTGCTTTTTAAGATTGTTTGAGGTAAATCAGATAATTCATATAAAATATTTAGCATAGCACAGAGTCTTAATAAACAATACCTTTTGGATGCCTTTCCAAACAGAGGATTCCAATTATTTATATGAAAGCAGTATTCAATGTTAAAGCTTACCTATTCTGTCAGTTATTCAATAATTACAGGTCTAAATGATCAAAGCGTTACCTCCAAGGAAGATCCAAGTACTAGCCTATATCCCTCTCTGTTTGAACATAAAAATTTATTCTGTCTTAGAAAAAATCCATCTGATCCTAAGAAAATAAGATGATTATGTAGCACAAAAATAATCCCAGATGACGAAATATTCAAAGAATGTACTGAATCTTCATGAAATCAATACTTGTTAATTCCCCACCATTACTGAAGAAATGAAAAATTGAGTCCCTTGTGTTTTGAACCATTATATTTACATGCAAACACATTTTCAGTTCTTTTCCGGGTTCAAGTCACTCATATAATTTCTTCAAAATTTGATTCATGTGACATCACTTTTCCATAGAATTCTTTAACTTTCTCTATGTCATATAGGAATATAAACGTAAATCCAATATTCACATTAAATTGAGAAAAGACTTATATATTAGGCATGCCTGGAAACATAAAGTGTAAGTATTAAGAGAAATTATAGAAAGGGCCCAGTTTAGACTTTATAAAAAATATTTCAATGCCTGGCCATTAATCTTGAGTGGATCTTTCAACTGTAATAAAAGTGACAGCATATCCTGTTTTCAAGTTTACTGATAGCGAACATCATTCTAAATTTTCACTTTGTGCTTCACTCTTTGCTTTGACTGTCAGGAAACTCAGGATTAAATTTCTAGTTCAAGCTTAGTGATGGTCCCATCTATGGTTCCTAATAAAATTATCTTCTCTTTTACTCTAAATAATTTCTGTATTTTATTGCCTTTATGTGTGTTCATGAAATTTTAGAATAGGTTTGCTTAAATTATTTCTTGAAGGGAGTGGAACTAAAATATTTGCTCTTGGTTACTGAATTTACTCTTATTTTATATTATCCCAATATACTCCTTCAATTCAAAATTTTGAATTTTATACAGTAAAAAATGTTGAGAGGTGGAAAGAATGGGGGAAATGGACAGCAATTAAAAAAGTCATCATAGGGGTGGCTGGGTGGCTCAGTCAGTTGGGCGTCTACTTTTGGCTTGGGTCATGATCCTAGGGTTCTGGGATCCAGCCCCGCACTGGGCTCTCTGCTCTGAGGGGAGTCTGCTGCTCCCTCTCCCTCTGCCTGCTGCTCCCCCTGCTTGTGCATGCATGATCTCTCTCTCTCTCTCTGTCAAATAAATAATTAAATCTTAAAAAAAAAAAGTCATCATAATGTAACCTCATTCTCTAGCCCAAAGCAAACTACAAAGACATACATATACTTAAATATGACAGGGTTACTGTTGTAACTGGTAAATGCCCTCAATGTACCAGGAAAGATCTCTGATTAAGAATTACATAACCTTGGGGTGCCTGGGTGGCTCAGTCATTAAGCGTCTGCCTTCGGCTCAGGTCATGATCCCAGCGTCGAGCCCCACATTGGGCTCCCTGCTCCGTGGGGAGCCTGCTTCTCCCATTCCCCCTGCTTGTGTTCCCTCTCTCGCTGTGTCTCTCTCTGTCAAATAAATAAATAAAATCTTTAAAAAAAAAAAAAAGAATTACATAACCTTGACCAAACCCTTTTACAGGACAAAGCAAGAAATTGGTTCCTTCTTTGACTGAACATTATTTTGGGGAACTAAGGTCTTTATAAAAGTCTTAAAATGTTTGAGGTATGTCTCAGATGATAAGGGTTTCTTTCTCTACCTAAAAACCTTTCTGTATTTTCCCCATGAAAATTCAGAGTCACTTTAGGCTTAAAGACTGTGAGGGAGCCTCCTTTGCCAAAAGAGATAATCCTTCCATGAAACTAAGATGCCAGTATCCTGTGTGCAAGGTAAGTGAAGACAAAAAAGTGAACCTAGGGTAGGAATCTTCAACTTTCCCTTTAACTGAATGGGAGCTTCTTTTCATTTTTCTAAGGCTACAAATGGTGTAAACACACACGAATGCACATGCATGTGTGTGTGTAAGAGGGGATACTTTGGGATTTAAAAAAAAAAGGAGTAACTTTCTAAGTAAACAGAGGACATGTCACTAAAAGTTTTACCTGACCCCTGTTGAAAAATCCCAGAAAACTAAGGAAAGAAGGAATTAAGGAATGACCCCATAAATTAGGTATCTATGGAAGCCTGATTGATCATCATTCTCTGGTTTGGGAACCAGGCTCTAAACATTCCCTTAAAAGAGGATCATCCCATTAAATATAAAGAAAAGAAAAGGAGTGAGCACACTTGCTGAACAGCCCATGTCACATGACCTGGGAAACAACTTGCCTTGTTTATCCTCCTCCAGCTCACTGTCACAGCATCCATCCCCTTCATCCTTCATATTGTCATCAGCATCTGCTGCCTTCTGCGATGAGGTTTCACTCTCCTTTTCAGGGTCTAAATGATCTTTTTCATCATCTGAGGGTGACTTTGACATCTCATTCATTTGATCATCAGCCTGTCCTTCTTCATTAGCTTTCTCATCTTGTTTCTCCTCATCTACTTCAAAATCTTCTTCATATTCTGAGGGAAAAAAAAAATCACCACTATAAGAAGGAAAATAGAATCTCTGATACTTAACCCATTTTACTTTAATGAGAACTTTGACTCCACTACACTCTCTTCTCTGGGCCTTTCTTTGCTTCTTTTTCACACAATTATTGAACATGGAAAACCAACAGCAAATGATCAAAGATTGCAATCAGTTACATACACAAGAGCACAAAAGAAATAAAGCCCCAAATGACGAGCCTGAAACCTAATGAAAGTTCATTTACAAATGGACATCATCATCTACAATAACCAAAATGGACAAGAGAAGAACTTGATAGAAAAACAATAAATTAGAAATAAATTAAAAATGAAGAGAACAGGATTGTAATAATGAAAGTTAATTTGGAGACCCAGTGAGGTCATATTTCATATGAAGAATGTTCAAAATATTTGGATATCAAGTTAATGAATAGTGAAGTGGAAAATTCAATTAATCAAGTCCAAAGGCCCTGAGAAGTAATACTGTGAATAGCACATTCTTTGAGAACCAAATAGACATCAAGAAAAGGCATTATGAGGCATTCTATACCTAGACCAGAACCCAAATCATATGCATTATTCATCCCTACAGTCAATGAAATAATTACATTCCAAGGATAAAAAAATTCTTATAAAATAGAACATTCCTGTCACAGCCACTAATTTGCTTCATTCCCTACAGAGGTGCAACAAATCCACAGCAGAAAAAGGAAATTGTCACATCAGATAAACTCCAGCTGTCCCTTGTGGTTATAATTTTTCACCTTTCATATTTAATTGTTCCCCTTTTTCTTCCACCAAAACCTAAAAATCTTGAAATGACAACATGCCAAGGATAGAGAGCAAAAGGATTTCATGCAGAACCAATTAAGCAAATAAACAATTATCTTTAAAAATTATAGGGAAAATAAAGCTTTCCCCATTTTGTGTGTTTTAGTTATTAGATATTCCAGCTTCCTTGCCAGTGGTGGGGGCCTGTCAGGTAATTACTTAGAGCTATGCACCCTGCCCCAGTGAAACTTAATTTAGAAATGCAGGCCCTGTGCATATGAAGAAAGCTCTGTTAATGCAGAGACTGTATGAGCGAGATGTAAGAGGAAAAGTGAAATCAGAAACTTAATGTAATGAAGAAAGGCAAACAAAGAGAATTCACAAGAAGTTTTCACAAAAAAAATTTAATATGGAGAACATGAAATGCAAATTATTATCTATAAACCAAATTATAAATAAGCAAGAAGATGAAAAATTTGGTTTATAGTGTATGAAAGAAACAGGAAATACTAATAAAAACAAATATTTTTATCCAAATATTTCAGGCCAAATAATAGGATAGTTCCTCACTTGGCCCAGTCAGCTGTCAATCAATAAGCCTTTTTTGAGAAGGATTCTCCAATTTTTGTGGAGGAAATAAGATGCAAATACACAACAGATACAGTACTTACAGTGGTTTTTATACATGGTCCTCAGTAATGTTAGTTTCATCACTGCTGGGCTTGATTGCTATGGATTTTCATATAGGACTCATGATTAATTATATGAAATAGTGTCAAATGAATGGAATGGAATTAAAAAAGGGGGTGCAGAAAGTCATTTGGAAATCGTGGAAGACTTCGTAAAAGGGGGAGTTTAGGTTAGCCACAGAACACACGGGCATGAGAAACACATGCATCTATCACTTTACAGATATTTGCTGCTGGTCACAGGATAAGCAGGGGGCCAAGTAGAACATGAGTGAACTGCTATAATCCATCAGTAGTGTCACATAGTGGTGACATTGAGGGTTTTAGAGGCAGGCTGCCGTGTGCCCAAGTCCAAGTGAAAACACTTGCTAACTATGTCACTTTACACAATTTGCTCAACATCTTCAAGGTTTAGTTTCTTCATCCGTGACATGGTAGTGCTTGCCTCACAAAGCAGTGGTGACTATTAAAGCAATCAGCCCTGGGGCAGGGGTGCCTGGGGGGCTCCGTTGGAGAAGCTTCTCCAGTGTCTGCTCAGGTCATGATCTCGGGGTCCTGGGATGGAGCCCACGTCGGACTCTCTGCTCAGTGGAGAGTCTGGTTCTCCCTCTGTCCCCTGCTTGTGCTCTCTCTCACTTGCTATCTCTCTCAAATAAATAAATAAATAAAATCTTTTAAAAAATATAATAATCATCCCTGGAACATGCTTAGTACAATGTCATGAGCAATACATGTCTAATAATTATTAGGGATTAGTAGTAATATGGGGGTGGAAGGGGTTGGTCATAGACCAAGAGAAATATACTCTAATGGAGGCACCTGATTAAAACTGGAGAAGTACAATTGTCCTCAATCAGGACACAATTACAGTTATATTATTGAAGCAGAGCATAAAATTGAAGGAACATGTACTGAACCATAAGAGCAGTCCCTACATTCTGTTTTGCAGAAGCTTCTGTGTTTTGTCTCAAAGTACGAGATTCAAGGCTGCCCTGGCTTTGCTCTACCCACTACTGTCATTACACCTAAATATCATCTCTCCTTTAACCATGAGCACTCAATTAGCATGAGAGCTCAGAGCCACCTCCTTTGTGTGAGCTACTCGTGTTCTCAATCCGAGCGAACTGGTGGCATGCTTTCTGGATTCCTTTTCATAATTGCTTCTGTTTCTCCCATCTCATCTTCCTTCTTCCAGAGAATTTAATTAGCTTGTTGTTTACCATCCCCACTAATGAGGAAGTGAGTTGACACGAGGTCGACGTCAGTCCAGCTGCAACCCTCTCTCACTGACCTCCACTCAAGTTTCTTGCTGCCCTTTACCATCAGCGGATGCTCTGCAGAGAGCTGAAGCCTCGCTGCCTCTGTTTCTTCTTCTTTTTTTTTTTTTAAAGGACAAATCCATTAACTAGCCAACACAGAGGAAAGATCTTGGGAAAAGCTACAGCATAGGCATAAAGTACACTACTCATAACCCTGGCCAGGTTGGTTTAAGAAAAAAAAATGAAGAATATAAAAGCCTCTCCTGAGCATGGCTTTAATAAACCTACAGGTCTTGAAAGTTAAAACACATAAAAACACGTCCAATTTGTTCATCTCTGTGCTACTGCTATCGCCGTAGATAGTTTTAAATTTTCAATCTAAGATAATAAAGACTAGAAGAGATCACAGAGAGAGAGAAACTGGGTCAAAGTGTTAGAAGTGAAATCTTTTTTAAGATGATCGCATTCTTCCAGTAATAAACAAAGTCCAGTGCTATAATAGCTCTGTAATTCTTCTCTGGGATTTCTGAAACCCTTGGGGAGCAGCAAGATGAGAGGAGAAGGAGGAATGAAGGCTCTGCCCCTTTCCTGATGCCGGTTCTTCCACAGGTCATCCCAGCCCACAGCTAATGGTCCTTTAATCCCAGCGCTATCTCCTTGCTGTAAGCGGGACAGGTAGGCAGCTCTCCTTTTCTGACTTTGGACATACCACCCACAACCAGGTAACATCGAGGATAGCTTGTGCAGAAAAGGAGGTTGTACAGTTGGGAAAGCCTGGGTTTTGGAATTAGACAAGCCCGGGTATTGGAGTGTGGCAGAGTATGCCGGCCCAGAATATGCCACTTTGGCATCCGGTTTATTTTGAGCTGAAGGCAACTGAGAAATAGTAGATACAAGAAGAGTGCTCTACCCTCCCCCTATTTGCCTAAAAGCAGGACATAAACTTGTGAAGGTGTCTCCCCTCCCCTCTCTATCCAGGAAGGACAGAAGTTAATCAAAGGAGATAACTCCACACCCTTATCAGTCCAGAAAAAAACACCCGAGGAATCAGCATCACAACCTCACTGAAACCAGCCTTTATCTAGCATTTGTTTCGCCATATATTTGCCTTCCCATAATTTGCTGCCCCAGAAGCTCAGTGCTTTTTCCTTTGTCTTGTCACTTCTCTAAAAGTGTATTATGCTTTTTTTTTTTTTAAGATTTTATTTATTTATTTGACAGAGAGAGACACAGCGAGAGAGGGAACACAAGCAGAGGCAGTGGGAGAGGGAGAAGCAGGCTTCCTGCAAAGCAGGGAGCCTGATGCGGGGCTCGATCCCAGGACCCTGGGATCATGACCTGAGCCGAAGGCAGACGCTTAACGACTGAGCCATCCAGGCGCCCCAAAAGTGTCTTATACTTTTGCTAAGATGCTACATAAGCCCAAGTTCTAACCACCCCCTTGAGTTACTCAGCACTGAAGACTCCTGGGTGTATGTGCGACGCACATGCTAATAAATTTCTGTTTGTTTTTCCTGTTTTAATCTCTTTTGTCAGTCTCATTTACAAGGACCCAAAGAACCTAAATGGGTTGAGGAAAAAGTTTTCCTCTCCTCCAGTGTAAATCCTAGTTCTGCTTCTTTCTGTCTGTGTGTCTGAGCCTCAGTTTCCTATCCCATAAAATGGAGGGAGTAATAATATCTATCACAATGAATGGTAAGGATAAAATGAAATAGTGCGTGTTGAGGGCCTGGATGGCTCAGTTGGTTAAGCGTCAAACTCTTGATTTTGGTTCAGGTCATGATCTGAGGGTTGTGGGATTGAGCCCAGTGTGGGGTTCCATGCTGGGTGTGGAGCCTCTCCCTCACCTTCTGCCCTTCCTCACCACAGTCTCTCTCTCTAAAAAAAAAAAAAAAAGTACTGTGTGGAAAGCTCTGGCCCAATGCTCAGTGCCTGGCACTTTCATTATTGGTTATTATCACTACTCTATATATGAGTGAGTGAGTGTGTGTGTGTGTGTGTGTGTGTGAGAGAGAGAAAGGAAGGTAAGAAGGAAGGGAGGATGGGAGAGAGTGAGGGAGGGGAGGAAGAAGAAGAGAACAGGAGAGGAGAGAGTAACAAGGAAGGCAGACAGATTGGCTCCAGGACCCTGAGCCTATGTCAACTGTTTTTACTTATGGAATACTCTTATTACTATATAAGCATATTGTGCCTACCTGATCCCAAGCATCAATTTCACCAAAGCAAGTACATTCAAATACTAAAAAAAAAAAAAAAAAAGGTAAAACTCTATTTGGTCAACCCGGTCTCTCTCTGCAGAAGTGAACAGAGCTTCTGGCTCATGCAGACAGAAATTCTCCTTCCCCTCCTGCCCCTGCAAGCACCTTCACCTCTCCAGAATCAGGCCTGCCCTCTGTGAGGAAGGTGACACAGGCCTCCATGCAAAACAGAGGGAGAAGGTATTCAGGGATCCCTCCATGCAACAGAACTGGCAGAAGACTGTAACTGAGTAACATATAGTAGGTATTGTTGCACATTTCAATAGGGCATTTTAAAGACTGAAGCAAAACAACAATGGCAACAACAAAAGAACTCTGTGGTATCCATTACCGTATTTAAATATATTTTCCTGGGCATCTTCCCAAACATCTTGTCCTGGTTTTCCTTTAAGTTCCATTTCTTCCACAGCTGTTCTCACTTCTACGATCCCTGTTTTTTCTTCTTGAGCTGAAAAAATGACTGAAGTGGTTTTATTCCCCTCCATCTCACTCCTCGGTATCATGTACCCTCCATCCTTCCGCAGTTTCCCCTCACCCTTCTTCAGTTCTTCTCTTTTCTCCATACTCTTTTCTTTCTTAGGCTTTGGTGAAGTTGGATTTTTGTCAAGGCCCATTGCAATAATGCACCTATGAAAAATGTAAACATAAGGTGTTTATTAACCTTTATATATAACATAGTGGAACCTCAAAGCTTTTTAAATCACTTATTTCTTATTCCAGTAAGAAATACTGTAAGAAATATTTTATTATAGTACACATAGTTAATTAGAATAAACTTATTTTCTGATTCATAACTAATTCTTGTAAATGAACACAATCAATTATTAATGATTTTACCCACGGTAATTTGAACAAGAAAACAACTTAACAACTAAGAACAGTTGTCACAAGCTAAAACTTGTGCCTTTAAAGCATGTTTTTAGTCTTATTACAGAGTCCAATAAACATATCATTCAAGTTCTTAAATGAGAATTATGTGATAAAAGAACATTCAGGTATATAAACAGGGAAGCTGAGATAAAAATAATCAGGAGAAGAAAGATGCCATTCAGTCTCAGATAATTTGTTATTCCAACAACACAACAACAAAAGACTTCTATACAAGGTTGACTCTAAATAAATATGATTGATTTTTTAAGAAACATATATAGTCAAATGTTCTTGTGCCCTTTAAATAAACACCTCGGGAGCCTGCATGCTTATTTTAATAGAACCATCATCATTGTTTTTAGAATGGCCTTTTGAAGCCCGTACAACAATCTTTTAGTGACTTTTCCTGACAATAAGCTTTCGTTCTTTGGAGATGGCAATAATTTGTAGAGGTCATGAAGTCATTCGAAGTCAAATCTGGTGAAACAAGCAGATGATCTGAATATATTAAGACATTAAAAAATATTTTAAAAAATCAGTCATAACAAAAGTAACATGAATAAATCCTTCTATAGCTTTTTTCCTATCTCTCAAGTTAATATTGAAGTAAGAATTCCAATTATGATAATAATACATATACATACAATAATATGTATGATAATATTATACAATAATATACAATAATACATTAATAAAAATATGATTATGCTAATAGTAAGATGATTGAGTGACGCATTAAGAACTATCATCACAACTTGACAAAGGAGGAAACTGAGGCTGGCAGGCCTCAATGCCTTGCCCAAGCTCACCCAGCAGGTTAGTGATGGAGCTGGATCCTGGCTCAGGGTTGCTAGACTCCATCCCCTCACAACGAGGTACAAAGATATTGTTAGATTACGGGTGTAGCCCTCCCAGAAGGACAGCCCCATGTACAGATGTTACACTGCAGGGCTTCCCACCAGGGAAAGTGCTCACACTCTTCACCAGAAACTAACAAAACCTGGAGAAGTTCGCGCCAAGGCCTAGAGATGATCCGTGACCTGAGAAAAGTGCCTGGCAACTGTCAGCCTCCACCAGCCTCCTCCTCTAGAACTACCTGCGTCCCCTTCCCTACACAACTTAGTGGGAAACTGAATCAATAGAGCACACAGGTGAAAACAGATCCAAATGTAGTCAAGATGTATCCATCCAGGAAGAACAGAAATAATATGTAAAATTTGAAAACTGCCTCAGTGTGAATTAGATTTAATGGCAATTTCTTGAGCTAAAGATTTCACTGAATTTCAGCCATCCCCAGTCTAGAAATAGCATAGGCATCAATCCTCCCAGCTTATGAGAACTTAGTTATATCACTTATCTTTTCAATATCCCCCCATAAAATAAAGCTAAAAGGATTTGCACTCAAAGTAACTATCAGGCTGTAAAAAATGAGATAATAAGAATATACTTACCTCCCCCATATTAAGCATGATAAATGTTTCTTGCCTGGAATGATGATGTACTTAGCACACTGCTTTCCTTGGAATAAAGTGTCATGAATCTTCACAGAATATGATTACTAGCATTGCCTTCTGTTCAAGCTCTTCTTCCCTTATCAATGGCAACACCAAATCCATCGATTTGGAGCTTCTGATCTGCTGTTACTTTTGGTTTATGTTGTGACTACGTAGAGGCTTTGATGCCTCCCTACTGCATTCACAGCCTTTTTATTGCCCATCTGCTTAAGGGAATTGGATGAACAAAGTGAGCTACATCTGTGCTCTCCTCGTCACTGACTACCTATTTGACTTCTGAGTCAATTTGAGGTGTTGATTCTGATTACTAAAGCTCAACGCAGTCTGCATTCTACTTGGCTAGGCAATTCTTCCTTCTGTGCTTCACTCTAGCAACTGAAAATAACTACCTTGTCTCTTCAGTTGCCATGACTGAGGGATGGGTACAAGTGTGCAAACTCCACACTTAGACGTGACCACTGCTGAGCCGTTCTTGTTTTCTGAAGACCTTAAACAGGTAATTCCTAATCATTTTTAGAACTAGAACTCCCTATTGTTGTTTTAAATAATTCACTCCTCATAACAAAAGTTCCAGAGCCAGTACTTTTAAAATGAATGAAAATTAATTTCTTTTTTAACAAATTAGAGGCATTCATGTACACCCCCTTAAAATAATTAAAAGTATCATGGATGTGACCCCCCAAAAAGGTTATATAATAAGTGAATTATGTTATATTTTATAAATGTTTATTTTATATTTATATTATATAAATAAATTTTTAAAAAGTTAGCAGACCTAACAGGCCTTATTCTTTAATATCACAGCCATTTTATTTTTATTATTTGAAAAGGTCAAAGAAAGAAGCTAGAGGGAATCAAATGAAATCATATAAAAATTGTGCATGGAGTAATAAGTGTTAAATAGGAAAGTAGATGTCATCCGTCAGATTTTAGTACTGATTATTAAACCTCCAAAGAAAGTGTTTACAACCAAACATTTACAGCTTGGATTTATACAGCAACTCTCAAAGAATGCAATGTGTTTGTGCATGGATGACTGTATATAAGCTCATTAGCTTTCCTGGGAGGCAAACAGAAATTTGTTAAATGACTTGCCCACAAATATGGAGAAAGTATATTTGAGTTGGAACAGGAAAACAGCCTCAGGTGGGTCCTAAGTACATCTGGGCACTCCTACTATATTGCTCTAGACCATTGACTGTCCCACTTGCTGGATGACTCTTTCACACCTTTTCTCTCCCCTAAAACCTCCAATGCCTTCTTCCTTAAGTCTTAACCTCAGCTGATAAATTCTTGGATGACTGAAAATACAGAAACAATCAGCAGAGAACTTCCAGTTGATCCCAACACTTCCATCTGACACATATTAATTGGTTTACTTGCTATTTGCCTTTCCCCCATTAGAATGGGCTCCACAAGGGCAGGAACTTTGGGTGGTTCACTCCTGTTTTCTAGCTTGGCATATATCAATTTTCCATGAGTACTTGCAGAAAAAAATTAAAGCCTACAAGCAAGTGTCCTAATTTCAAACAGAACATCCAATATGAAAGCTGATAAGCAACAGTCAAAATTGACCCTTTATCATGCATTTCGTTATGCCTGAGATTAAAACTAGGGGCATGAGAATGCTAACCGGGCCACACCATAATGCAAGCATGACCTGTCACGCCCAACCATATAAGACAGATGCTTGGCACATGCTTTGGGACTCCCAAACCAGTTCCTAAGAAGAATGAGAATGAAACACCCTCTCTCCTTCACTTCATAAACAGAACTTAAAGCAGTATGAGGAAAGGGAGGGAGAGAGAGAAACAGTTTGGAACACCACCAGCTTTTATCCCCATGATAGAATACATCTGGAAATCTAACTTAGATCTAATAATTTCAAACACAACACACCGGGTTATAATAAGCAACCATTAACTTAGACATTTTGGGCTCATTTACACTGATAGCTTTGTTAACAAACTGTGGTGAGAAATGCATCAGTAGAAGCATAAAGAGGAAAATGTAGCAAACGTGCCCTCTACCAAAGGACACTGGTTTCCATACTTGTAACAAGGAGATGATCTCTGCACGCACACAAACCCGAAGTAGCCTCGTTTGCCTCCAAGTCTGGAACCTTTCCGATGCTTATATTCACAGCAGGAGCTTAACCTGTTCACCTGCATCCCATTCAGAAAAAAGGTGAGACTGAAGGGGAAACCATGGTGCCTTTTGGAAACAAACTGAAAGGTCTCTGGAATTAAAAAAGTAAATACATCAGTGAAAGCAACTGATTTTGGACTAATATGTTCAAAATCACACTTTTCTATTAGGTAAGTACAATATTATGCTCTAGATCACCTTTCCAACTTGAGGACAATTTTTAATCATAAAAACACATGCTATTATTTTTATTTACAATAAATACTCCAAGGCATTATAAAACTCTGATTTGTAATAAAATAATAACATTATATGAGCTCTTACTATGGCCAGGCATTATGTCCGATAATCTTGGGTGTGTTATTTCTCAACAAACACATGAAGTTTAGAGAATATTATTATCACTAGTTTCTATATGCAGAAATTAAAGTTCAAGGGAACTCAGTCATTTATCCAAGATCATACAGTAAGTAGGGGAGTCAGTGTTGGGAGTCCCAATAGCTCTCTAGATTTCATCTTGCTATTTAGCTACTGATAAAGTATATGGCAAGAGGCTACTGTGAGCTCAGTAATGCTTTTAAATAAATGTGTATTTTTAGCTATGACTTGAACCAGCCTAATACATATATGGATGAGGTAGAATTATTCCATCTCAAATCCATTCTCAGTTCTGCCTGGATTTGGGTCCCCTTCTTGTTCTCCTGCCCACCCAAAAGTCCACCAATAAATTAAGAACCGCTGCTTGGAGTTAATAATTTTTAATCATCCCAAGTCTTTTTATAGTGCTCTTTGGAAAGGTCTCACCCTAGAGATCCCAAGTTCTGGGTCTAAGAAAACCCTATGTTACAGAGTGACTCAGAAACCTGCTTTTCATGACAGTTCTAACATCATTTCCTACAAAACAAGTCTCTCTGGACTCTTCCACTTGCACAAATGATGGAGTTGATCATTTCATCTCTCTGCTCTGTACACCTTCCTTGTTATTGCTGTTATTACAATTGTTTAAAAATATGGCGATACCAGGACTTCTCAAACTTTAGTGTGCGTCAGAATACCCTGAAAGGTTTATTATAACACAGGTTGCTGGGCTTTACCCCAGAGTTTCTGATTCACTAGGACCTAAGAATTTGCATTTCTATTAAGTTGCCAGGTGATGCTTGAGCTTCTGGTCCAGGAACCTGACTTTGAGAACCCTGATGTAGATGTCTGCTGTCCTGCATGTTTGTGAAATCCATGAGAGATGGAACTGGTCTGACTCATCTTTGTTTCCCCAGGTCCCAGGACAATGGCATAGGAGGCCCCCAATAAATAACTAATAAATTATTATTTTAACCTATTTCATAGTCATCTAGAAATACTATGTTTATACCACACTCTGCCCCTAAAAACTACCTAGATCAGTTGCAACTTGTACTAAAGAATAAAATTACTGGAAAGGTAATTCCATCATTTATACCTTAGTATTTGTGATGTAAAATTCAAACACACAAGGGAAGAGAAACTTGAAAAGTTAGCATCTGGGGAAACTAAGATACAACAGATTTAAAAATCTGCTTGTCTTAATGATATATGGACTCCTAAGTATTGACTAGAAAGCGAGTTTGACTGCTTTCTTTCCAGTAACTTGAATTGGACATTCACGTCATATGATCTATTCTGCTGCGGCATCACATCCCTTAACTACCTGAGGTCCCAGCCCAGGAAGAAGGTGCAGCTAAGGAAATGCTGAGAATGGGCTCAGGAGGTGGACTTCTCGAGGTGACTGCCCTTCCATCGTGTAGCCATGTGGCTAGAGAGCGCATCCACCTATTATTCCATTCCTTTCTCTTTTTTTTCAAACTTAACTGAACAAGAATTGACACCCTCTGCTTTTCTTCCCTTGTTATTACTTTTTTAATTTTATATTTTAAAATTTAATGACACTTTTCAACCTGACTTAATGGTTTCTGCATGGAATAATGGAAATAATATAGACCAGAGTTTAGAAGATTTGGGTCCTTGTCCTAGTTCTTCACTTATAAGTTGAATGTCCCTTGGTGGGTCACTGGACTGTTGCACTTCAGAATTCTCATATAAAATGAGGATGGCCGTGGGAGGGGGTGAAGGAGTTGGGTGGAGGGAGCGATCCAGTTTACCCACTTCACTGAGTAGCCTCACAGATTATATAATGTACAGTGTTAGAAGGCATTCTACACTATTTGTAAAACATGGTTATTCATTGTTGACTGGCAGTGGCTCGCACTGTTTTAGGCACTAAAGAGGAACTAAAATACTGAAAATAAGATCAAATATGGTCTCCTGACTCAAGAAGTTATATAATTGAGCAGAAGAGACAAAAACAATATGCCAGATTTCTAGAGTGAGGTCCCCAAATCCTCTCCCCTTAAAATTTTGTCTCTAAAATTGGACCAAAGACTTAAACTGAACAGCAGTTCAAAAACTACTGAACTTTTCATAAGAACAGAGGGAATCCCCACTCCCTCCCCCTCCCCCACCAGCATTTCATCAGCAGAGTTCGAACAGGGGAGGGCAGGCCATAAATAACCAGCAGCTTCCCTGTCAGTGGGGGCTGACTTTGTCTGGAGCAGAAAACAAAAAAGCCTTGGCCAGTGGCGTTACCAGTAATAAGTGGCAATCTTGGAGGCAAGCTAATATGGAAGTTCAGAGATCCTGCTAACTAAGACTGCAGTTGAAATTAGGGCAAGCACCCAGGCTGGTGGGCTAGCCAGAAACTTAACAGGGAGATACAGGCCATAAGGCAATTATAGACACATTTGATAAGCTCTCCACACATCCCCGGCTGATGGGAAGTGGCATGGATTGGAGTAGGCCCAACCTATTCATACATCCCTGGCCCACCGGAAGCTTGCACCCACGAACAAAGAAAACCTGGTGGAAAATAAAAATTAAAGCAGACCTGGAAACTGCCTCAACTTGGATGGACTCCTGAACCCGTTACTTTGGGTTGAATATTGCCCTCTAAAAATCCATGACCACCCAGAACCTCAGAATGTGACCTTATCTGGAAATAGGGTCTCTGTAGATACAAGTAGTGAAGGATCAAGATGAAATCATCCTGGATAGTGTTTTGTCGAACAAATTCAATGACTGACATACTTATAAGAAGAGGACAGGACACACACAGAGACACACAGGGAAGAATGACACGTGAGGACAGAGGACGTAGAGCTGGGAGCCCTGGGCTACAAACCAGGGAATGCCATGGATTGCTGGGAATCACCAGGAGTTGAAAGAGACAAGGGAAGATTCTCCCCTAGAGCTATTAGATGGAGGATGGCCTGCTAATAATACCTGATTTTAGATGTCTGGCCTCCAGAGCTATGTGAGAATTAAATTTCTGTTGTTTTAAGCCACCAGTTTTGGGGATTTGTTACATTAGCCCCAGGAAAGGAATACACCCACACACAGATCGGTGGGGGCTGTACTTTATTCAAAGTCTTCTGACTTTGTACTAGGTCAAAGTTTTTGAACACAACCTCTGACAAATCACTAGAGATCAATAAACTATGAAAACACAGAGACAACCCAAGGAGGCCAGCCTAAAAAATAAAAAGAGATAAAATCTAAGCAGAGACACTACACTGGCTGTCTACCAAGGAGAGGGGGCATGGATTTCAGAGAAGTTACTAAACAGACAACAACAAAAAGAGTGAGAACAATAACCTTCAAGAGGCAAAAGTCAGAATCCAGAATCCACAGTTGCTGTAACACATGATCGAAAATGTCCAGTTTTCAACAACAAAAAAATCAAAAGACATGTATGTAAGAAGCAGAAAAGTGTGGGCCATATTCAGGGGGGAAAAAGCCATCAAATCCACTCCTAGGCATCTGCTCAAGAGAAATGACCAGATGTCTACACAAAAACTTGTATCTGTATATTCATCACAGCATGATTTATAACGGTCCCAAATTAGAAACAGCATAAATGTACATGTAGTGGATGGAATACATTCGGTGGTATCAGAAGAGGGCAACCATTGATAACGGCTGTGAATAGATGACTCTCAGAAACATCAGGCTAAGTGAAAGAAGCAAGACACAGATGCTGCCTATTGTATGATTCCATTTATACGAAATGTCCAGAGAAGACATATCTGTAGAGACTGGAAGCAGATCAGTGGCTGCCAGAGGCTGGCTACAGAGAGTGAGGTTTCTTTGCCAATGAGCACAAGGGAACTTTCTGAAGTGACAGAGATTCTAAAACTGGTTTGTGCCAATAGCTGCACAACCCTATAAAACGCTTAAAAATCAGTGCATTGTACACTCACAATGGGTGAATTGTGGAATATAAGTTACACCTCAATAAGCGTATTTGTAAAAATTAAAAAGTCAATATATATAACAAGTAAGAGAAAAATAAAAAACATTTACTCTAAGTCACAGTGTAATGAAATGCTTCGGGTTTCAGGGGAGATTCAGAGCCCCGGCCATGGAGAGAGGGATGAAACACAGCAGAAGTCGGCTGAGAAAGCCTCAGAGCCTCAATGTGAATCTTACGAGATGGATAAAATTTGAATTTAAAATCCTATCTTGAATTTAAAATCCTTTGTCCTATTGCAGACAAAGGAATCGCGCTCCAAAAGACAAGATAACAGCATGGGGGTGGGGAACCAGTGAAGCAGCTGGTTTGTGAGGGAGTAACGAGGAATGCACAAATCGGTACAAAGGATCAGGTTATGAAAATACAGGAAAAGGGGGCAGAAAAGGAAGGGATTATAAGAGGGTCAGAAAAAAGAAAAGTTACTTTGTTCTTTGTACCCACATGAACCCAGGAGGCCAAGGTTTGCCTTGTTTGAAAGGATGAACATGGTAAATAAAAATGCCCATGAAGAACTGTACTCTTCACAAGTAGCAGAAATACTTGGTGACCTCATAGGTGTACATAATAAACAATCAATATGTGGCTTGATGTCTAAAATCAAACTGTAAGACATCAATGAATTACTAGGGGAATAAAAGATGCACTTGCCACATTCCTAAATAATTAATTTTATTGTTATTTCTCATCCAAAAGCAAGACAAATTAACAAATGCCACATTTTTAATTAGTTTACTGCTCCAAGCAGAATGTTAAACGCCTTTTTTTTTTTTTTAAACAGAACTCTTCTAAAAACCTATTCACATTTCACTGAATCATGCACAGCTTTGATTTGTAAAACGGGCAGATTCTTTTCAGCCCAGCTAAATTGCTAAGATTGCTGAACCACAAGTCAACTCTGAGCCACCCAACTTTTCAATTTTCAACAATTACTTTCCTGGCAATCAAAGGGCAAGCTGAGACAAAATTATTATGTGGACAGGATTCAATTATTTAAGTCCCCATTCCATTCTGTTATTTAATTCTGTCCAATGACATAACAAAAGTCAGTCCCAGGATCAATAGGTATGCAAAACAACACTTAGCCAAGTAACACTCTCCCTTACTCTTTGGTTTTGCACTGTTACCGCAGAGTATATGTGGTCTTCCTGAAAACATTCAGCTAGCTAAGCCTTGTTCTTATTTTTGTATGTACCACGTTTTCCAGCAGGCAAATAGACAGACAGGCACTGTCTTGAAGAAAGCGTGATCCAAGACCCAGGAAAAGTTTCATTCCGTTCATTCCAATTGTAGACTATAGCTAATTTCAGCAATTCTTCTATATTAACACTTGGAAGCTGCACTTTCAAAAATTAAGTGTATCTATCCCACTATCATTAGGGGTTTCCTACCTCTCATATTACGAAAATGTAGGAAACCCTTTGCCACTAAGAACAGCTAACTGAGCAAGGGTCCTGCGCCTAATCAGAGGTCCAGGATCTGCTCTTGACCAGGCCCCAAGCTGTGCGTGCGACCTTAAGAAGCCATCGTACCTCTGGACTTCTCTCATTTTCCTCATCTACAAAATGGCAGGAATGAACTCTCAAATGCTATGACAAAATGGCAAAGTAAATTACATTTCAGCCAGGTATATAAAATGGGGAAAAATAGTTTCTAGCATTATTTTTTATAAATAGGTTTTATAAATCTTTATCAAGTTAAAACATTCAAATGTTTACTCTTTCTTATGTTGGAAAGTTTTAAATATTTAATCCCTAAATCTGTCTAGTTTCTTTTTAAGTACTTAAAATTTTTAGAATTAACAGTCACTATTTTTGAGTGATGAGGGAAATCAGAAAAGCCAAAAGTAACAATTCCATTCTTGCCCCTAACTCCTAAGACTCCCTAAACTTGTATCAAGATTGCCCAAATATAAGTATTTCTTTTACTTAGTAAAAATGCAATTGCTTTCTAAACAGAGTTTCTTAAGCAAGGAAATAACAAATATAATCCTATAACAACTTGTCTTTTTAATTGCTATTCCACACAACTAAATATTGATGAAAACCACTTCAGTACAATATGTGAAACCCTATATTGGATATAAAAATTATCTTCTGCTAAGAAACATGGATTTATGATCAAATGAAAGCAGAAATGTACTAAAATCCATCTAGCCAAATTCCGCACCAAGTTATTTAGGTGTGATTCATCCTGAACTTTATTGGATTTGTGATTTTATCTCAACATTTTTCTAAAGAACAAATTGCCAATCTGGTATTTTTCTCTTAGAATAACGTATGATATAATTCACTATGGCAGGCCAAATAGTTAACTTGTAATTTGGGGGACAGTTTATTCGTGCAACATTTTAATGATCATATATCTCTATCCCAAAATTAATCTGTTACAGGGTTAAATCACTCCAAATTCTTTCTTCCACAATCTGCAAGAGTAATTGCTGCTTCGGTTTCAATCATGGAGCAGTAAATCTAGATTTACTTTGAGGCAGCTGGTTTATAAGTCCCTGGATACGCATAATTTCATAGAGTGATTGAAGTCATTTTGATATGATATCAATGATAGTTTATCTATAGCATCAATTTTAAGCAACTTAAAAAAATTCAAATTTTATATGTACCTTTTTCAAGTAGTTTGCCTTTGTAGACACAAAGGTTTTCCCCACCACAATGCTGTTGATAAACTTTTATTTCATCCCGAAAGTCTGGGTGATCATGAGACAGGTGCACGGTTTTCCCCAAATAGATCATTGTAATAGCTGCATTGCTATGCGGTGGTGTTTTATGAATCTTTCTTGAATCCTAGAATCAACAAAAGAAGGGGGCTTATTAATTAATTACCTTCTAATCAGAGAGAAATGATACTGTAATAGGAGGAGTAGAAAAGGCTCTTCCCTAGCAATAAAACCTTGATAAAATGTCAGTCTTCCTAGTGTACAAAAAGTCAAGCCAGTTACCAAAGAAATCTCTCTAACAATTATATGCATTTTGGCTTTGTATTTTTAATATAAATGCCAGGAATCTGGACAAAGTTTGTCTCTTTTTATTTTACCTGTGTGTGATATTTTACATAGTATCAGTGACACTAAGAGGAAACCGCTCTTGGTTCTTTCAGCTGGTTCTCAGATAAAGATTCAAATCAAATTAATTAAATATTGGTGACATAATTTTGTTCTAATTTGATTGATTTTGTGATTTAGCAACTGTTTTTTGCAATTGAGTGCTTTATCTTTACACTTGAGCACTGACAATGTATCCTTCCCTGATCTTCTTCTATGTGAGAGGGGGATGGCACATGTTTGATTCCTTCTAGGGTCACTCTGAGGATTAGAGATGTGTGTTACATGCCTAGGACTATCCATCTTTACAGGAAGCATTCATTCAATGAAGAACCAACATTATTAATATTATTTCTCATATCAAACAGTAAACTCAACAACAAGAGCAACAACAAAAACCCTGTTCTATGGTGTTCACACATTCATTTATAAAATAAACAATGAATTGAGGGGTGCCTGGGTGGCTCAGTTGGTTAAGCGACTGCCTTCGGCTCAGGTCATGATCCTGGAATCCGGGGATCTAGTCCCACATCGGGCTCCCTGCTCAGCAGGGAGTCTGCTTCTCCCTCTGACCCTCCCCCCTCTCATGT